TCTTTGAAATAATTATCAAGGAGACCCCATTTTCTTTTTTTTTTTTTTTTTTTTTTTTTTTTTTTTTTTTTTTATCTCTACTGGTCTATTTTCATTCCTTTGCATGACTCTGTTCCTGTCATTTGACTAGCTAGTTTGATGAGGCTTGTTATCAATCATCCAACTTAGCTGGAATTCAGATTATTGTATAGCTTATGGCTGCTATCTCTATAAAAGGGTTGTTGACTTCCACCTTTGTTTTTCATCAGCTTTTTACACCATTGGCAGCTGATATGCTTCTAGTAAAGCTCACATATTAATTCCAGTTGGTCTTTTCTTTATTTGTGTACGTGTGTTCTTTACTACTTGATCTAGTGACTGCTGTTTTTCCGTGTCAAAATTTTATACAGAAGTGCATGAATTTAAGCACGAGAGAGGTTCCTGGCGTTCAAAATTTGTACAAGTCTCACATAATGCTTGTAAATGCAAAATACTGTGCAACCACACTCTAACAGTGTATTTTATATCTGTCTATATTTCTGAGATGAGGTATTGTAATTATTTACATTATTCAGACTGTTGTCTTCATCTTTATTTCCATATTCATATTTCAGCTATTCTAGGTGATTTGAATTTTGTATTGAGACATCCAGAAGAGTCATGGCACGTGGAACTAGATTGATCTACCCTGGTGGATGAAATAAAGGGTTCAGTTTGAAATTCCAATCACCTGAAAAAGGCTGGAGCATACAATGGTTGAAATGGGAATATGTCAATAAAGATGAGGGCAACAGTTCAAACAATGTAAATAAAATATATTTTATTTACTTATTTCTTTTTGATACTATTGCTTATAGTCATATTAGGTTGAAACATCATTCTTTGTACAATCATCAAAGCAACATCGAGCCTGATGAATATGGGTGACCACTTGGGAATACCAGACGTTCTAAGCTTGGATGTGCAGGTGGTGTGGCTTATGGCCATATCACGTTGAAACATAAATTCTCATATGATCAACAATGTTAACCAATGTCAAGCCTGGCCAGTACCTAAATGGGTGACCACTTGGGAAGACCAGACTTCTTGGTCTGGCTGAGAACTTTTCTGCACCTCCTTGTAATAATCATAATAATTGTAGACATATATTATTATGGTCATGTGTACATTTCTATGTATATGTACAAGGTGGACACTGAAAAGATCTTGGCCTGAAACACTTCCAAAAATCTGATGAAATGACCAAACATCAGAATTTTTCTGAAAGAGCTTCTGGGTTTTGCCAAGAATTTACAATGCTCATCTTACTTATTATAAAACGCAGATTGTGTGTGTGTGTCTGTATGTTTATATATTGGATCGGATTTTCTACATTTTTCAAGTGGTTTCAACAAAACTTCACAGGACTGCGTAAAATTACCTTGCGGTGGTTCTGACAGTGCCCAAAATTGGAAAAACACAATTGTTTTTGCACAAAATCAATTTGAAAACACGATAAAACACGATTCTGTCGCCAGAATGAAAGGGGGACAACTCATATCGAGTTATACTTATTATAAAATCCAGGTTGTTTGTGTGTGTTCGTTTATATATGGGATCGAATTTCTTACATTTTTCAACCGATTTCACCAAAACTTCACGTTTTTTTGGCAGGTAGTGTTTCTTATTGTCTTGCACACTTTTTTCTTTATTTTTACATTCAGAATGCTTTAAAAATTCCATTTACAAGACAATTTTTTATGATAAAATTCTATTCAATCGATAGACTCATAACGATTTGGGTTTGACCAATTTGTAAAAAAAAAAACAAAAAAAACAAAAATAAACTAATTAAGACATGTGTGTCCGTCAACCTTAAACAATAATCTTTGTCAATTTTATTTTTCAGTCTTTATGATGGTCAATACTTGGTCTATCTCTTACTGTTACATCCCCGGGTAACGCCGGGTTCTACTGCTAATATATATATATATATATATATATATATATATATGGTAAGATAATGAAGGGTTTGGTAATCTGTATGGATAATACCAAAGAGGATGTAATTCAGAGAGCTCAATGTAACAACAGAGCAAATATTAATTAAATTAAAAAACAGACATTTACATGTTTTTATTTGTTTTTTTATCTTATTTTTAATACAAGTTTTTGAGGGATAGTTTTAGATTGATGTAAGGTGACAGAGGGAGTGGGAGGACCATAGAATGATCTAAATTAGAAATGGAAGGTGTTTAAATCCATATTTATTAAGTTATGTAGGTTTAAGTGTACTCAGTCAAGAGGCCAGACAATTTGACCTCTTAAATAAATCTATTGACAAGGAAAGAAGAAGACAAATGGTAAAGCAGGGGAGGGGGTAAAGATGGAAGAAGAAAGAGTGAAACAGAGGAGGGGGCAAAGAAGAAAGAGTGAATTATCATATGTATCTCAAACTAATGGAGATTAATAATATCACATCATGTTGAGTAAGTCATCAGATAATGGGTGAACTATAGAAGAATAGAATATTCTTACAGATTGCAATTAATTATGGGCATTATTATATCCATGATATGATAAAACCTTATTTCACAGACAGAACAGAATAGCTGAAGGAAAAATAATGACAAACATGCTTTATTCTCAGAGAGTTTCATACTACTAAGTCATAGACACAATTATATGCACATATTTATGTGTCTCACACAAACTATATCATATGTCTGCAACAGCAAGCAGTGTGAAAAGGTGACAAAAAGATAGGGTCTTGTGATAATTCCTGTTGGGAATTATTATCTGCTGGAATATTCTTCTGTATTTATTGAGAAGCCATATTTAGGATTTCAGATTCGAGTGGCCTGAATTTCACTATATTCCTAGTGAGGACATATTCCTCTGAAACCAGAAATGGTGATCATGGGTTTTTCCCATTATGAAGACTGTGGGATGTGAATAGTTTCTATATCTGATGAAGATATATTGCCAAAGGAAAATGACGTGTAAGCTGCATCATATGGCAGTGGGTTGGGAGAAGCTGGTTTAGCCTCAGTCCAGGTGAGGCAAGGGCCTTGCCCGTGCTAAAAGAGCAACTGCTCGATTTGACTCCTGGAAGCTGACTGATGGACTGGCCACTTTTGTCACTATGAAGTGATGTCACTAAACGGCTGTCATGTGACCTAGGTGACTTGCTCCTGACCAAAGGGTGGTAATCGTCTTTTGTGTTAAGACAAGAAAAAAAAGTGGAAAACTTTTTTTATCAACTATATATTTTGTCTTCTTTAGATTGGCTTCTTCACATCAGAATGAAAGAAATCTGTGTGTTTCTTTGTGTTTTAATATTAAATTGTTAATATGTTTCTTTTGTTGGCGTCTTCCGGTGGGAATGAAAATAAAATTGTGTGAATTTTTTTTTTTTTTTTGTCGTTCTAAAGCCACTATTTTAATTTGTGATGAAGGTTGTTGATCACCTTATGCTATTTAGGGTTTGACGTAGACGTTTTTGATAAGATGTTATTTTGTTGTAATTCTGACAGAAACAAAGAAAGATTTAGCAGAAATTCACTGCAAAAGACCTGGGAGAAAATTAAGAAAAATTTGACTGGAGGGTCGAACAATTTCTGACAGAAATTCCTCCTTGTCTGAGAAGGATTATTTGTAAATCATAATGAGATAATTGAAATTTTTTGGGCACATAGTGAGAAAAGAAGGCCTGGAGAACTTGACACTCTCATGACATATTGAAGACAAGTGGGAAAGGGAAACATTGCAAGTAACCTATCTAATGAGCTTGGCAGAACATGGATATTAAAAAGGTAAATATTGCTAGGAAGTGGTGAAGAGCCATGATCACACACATTCTGAAGAGATATGGCATATAGAAAGACTGATGAATAACCATATGAATGTTTTATGCCATAGAGTAAAAATGTAAAGCCAGCAAGTATATTTGCAAGTATGTCAGCAATCTTGTGGAAAAATGTGCTTGCTAATTTGAGGAGTTAATATTTACATTGTAATGTGTGGAGGGATATTGGTGTGCGAGATGGACATTGTCCTCACTAGGTGTCCCATACAAAATTCAACATTAAATAACCCAGCAACAGTTGACATGTCATAAAATCAACTAATGGATATTTTAAATTTGGATAAAGGTTAGTGAGGCTAATCTAGGTGATCATTGCTAGTGAGTAGTGAGTTTGATCCTCACTAGGTGACCCATACAAAATTCAACATTAAATATCCCAGCAGGGGTTGATATGCTATAAAATAAACTAACAGGTATTTCAACATTGGTTAATGCTTATTGAAGCTACTCTGGTTGACTATTGATACTGAGTAATGAGTTTGATACTCACTAGGTGCCCCATACAAAAATCAACCTTAAGTGACAACAAGGGTTGATCTCAACAAAATCCAGAGACTGATATGCAATGTGATTGGCCCTGATCTGGCATCTCATTTACAGTCACTCTCTCACAGATGTGCTAACGTGTCCCTCTGTCTTTTCTACAGATACTTTCATGGTAACTGTTCCGACAAGCTATTTTTGCTGGTTCCCAATCTACCTGAATTTAAGCATGCTACTAGATTGGCATCTCAGTCCTACCTTTTCACTGTCAAAACGGTTAAATGTAGCCATCTTCTACTCCAATAGCTTCATGTCTCACACTTCCCGCCCGGGGAACTCCCTTCCTCTTACACGCTTCCCTGATTGCTATAATCTCCAAATATTTAAATGCAATGTCAATTGACATCTCCAGATGCCTTGATCTATTCCTCATCCTTCTCTTCATCCTTTCCTCTATCACTCCTCTTTACTCTTGCTCCCACTTTCTGTTACCCCTTGGGTGCTTGTTTGGGGTGAAATGCTTTTAAAAAAATATATATAAATCAACCAACCTAAAACTAATTCATTGCTTTTTAAATTATAAATACAGTATATTAATCTTTAGGACAAAAGCAAAGATTTTTATTTACTTATATTCCTTTTTTTTTTTTTTTTCTTTTATTTCATTCCTTATCTTTGGTATATTTTTCAGAATCCAACTCAAATCTTGCAAAAGACAACCAAGTGAAAACAGAAAATAATGAAAAGTCTCAATTAGTGATACGAAATATAACGAGAAAAATATCTGTTCCCAAATTCATTCCTCGACAAGCCATGAACAAAACTAGTCACCAACCCCAGGTGAAAGGCAAACTGGACAAAGCCTTGCGTGCTACAGCAGTACAGTTGGGAGATGTCCAGGGTCCAGAGCTTCCAGAAGAAATGCAGACATTTCGCAAAGATATACAATTGTCTTTGGATAAAACCAGACAAGAAATTAGAAAGCGTGTTTCCCAGGTAACACATTTATATACTAATATTTTATTCTCTTTGTCAAATTACAAAGGTCTAAGAGTAGGAAAACTCTGAATATCGAAGAAATTAATAGATTTTATTTTTAATCTGATATTAATTCTTTTTACTCTAAATGTTATTTTTAGCATTTGATTAGACCCGTGGTTCCTGATGTGGGGTGCACACCCAACGGAGGTGGGGGGTGGGGGGGATTTTATTTTATTTGGTGGTTGGGTGGTGGTCGTTATTCGAGAATGAATTATTAACATACATACGTACAAATATTTTTATGTATGTATACTGATATACACCGTATGTAATAACTCACACACATAGAACAAGGTTATGGTGTACATATTAAGATAAAGGGGCCAAGGTACTTTTATGTTGTTTGAAGTTTAGCACAAATAGATTTTTTTCTATAACAGCCATGTTTTTTTAATTTGTTTTATGGATTTTTTTGAAGCTTTCAGAAGCAGATAAAGAAGTCGTTGCACAGAAGATGTTAAAAATTCAGAAAGACTAAGATTCTTCAAAAATACAACCACCTGTCGTATTAAGGTAAGAATTCCTTTTTCTCCATTGCTTACGAACTGACACAGATTGTGGATAAGTTCACTTATGTTCCTGATATAACAGGACATCATGCATATCTCTTAGACCTATTCTCACATCTCCTTCCTGACTTTCCCCCCTCTCATGGAGCACAAAAACTTTGTAATATCCCTATCATGGCCTAGGAAATTTCCAGATTTATCAAAATAAACATCACACACACCTCCTAGGCCTCTTCTCACATCCTGTCCTGAAAAATGTCAGTCCAGGCTCATGTCAGATTGTGCTGCAGCCATAGCTCACCGTAACCACCACTATTACAATATCTACCAAGAGAACAGTGTAGTAGGACCTTTGATGCACACAGAACTGCTCATAATCATTGCAAGGGAGTTCTAGAACATGCAAAGTGCAGCTATGCACACGTAGTCCAAACCAAGGTTGAAAACAAAACACATGGAACCAGTGAGTTCTGGAAAAATTGTTACAAAATTCTCACTAGAAGCAAGACATCATAAATGGTCCTGAAGTTACTTTATTCTTAGATAAAGCAAAGTTCTTTGCCTCTAACTCTGTGTTAGATAACAAGGGCCATCTCTTTCTTGACTTTCCCCCTCTCATGGAGCACAGACTTTGTAATATCTATAACATGGCCTGGCAACTTTCCAGTTTTATAAAAATCCTTGAGCCTAAGAAAGCTACTGGTCCAGATAAAATCACGCTGGTTGTTCGTAAGAACATTAGCCCAGAGTTGTCTCTGATCTAGACAAACTGCTGCCTGATGATGAAATCCTTCTCAAATCTGTAGGTGTCAAGTGTGTGCCCTCTTTTCAAGAATGCAGGTGAACTTACATCTCTATCACAATATTGGTCCATCAACCTCAAGTGTCATCAGCAAACTCTTTCAGGTTATCACTCTTTTGACAATCAACAAGAAGATGGTTGATCACCCCAACAGAGACAACTACCTGAGAGACAAACAATATGAATTTCACTTAGTTAGGTCCACTGCTGATATCCTGTCATTATGCACAGAATCAGTAAGGCATTAAATTTATCATGAGGATGATCGCCTTAGATATATTGAAGACCTTTGACAAAGTGTAACATAGTGGGTCGCTACACAAACTCTTGAGCTATGGAATCACTGGAAGAGTTTTTTCAATAATCAAATTCTTCCTAACAGGTAACTCCATGAAGGTCATCATTAATGGCCAGTCCTTTCTGCTTTATATTAATGATCTGCCAAAGAGCCTACTCTTTCTTTAGTGAATATCTATGCAGATGATACAGTGGTATAAGAGTGCACGTCCAAAAATCTAGATGACCAGACTCTGGCAGCTGACCTCTGACCAAGCTCTAATAGCTCAGAAGGGAAAAACTAGCTGATCACATTCAATACACACTGAGCAGTTCCTGTTTTTTCACCTATCATGATGAATGGTGTTCTCTCTAGGAAGGCCCTTTGCCTTGAACACCTATTGGAACTTAAGATCACCCCAGACCTCAAATAGAACTCGTATGTATGATCCATCACTAAAGATGCTAATAAAATAGTCAGTTCCCTGTACTGCTCCAGTGAGTATCAGACTCTTCTTGCTCTGTTCTTCTTTTACAAGAACCAGATCAGGTCAAAAATAAAGTGCTGCTGTCGTAAACTTACTGGAGCAGTCTTGATAGAATTCAAAATGTTTACTCAGTCTTGTGGGTGATGCTTTATTTTCCGCTTGACAAATTCTTTTCCACAGATGAAATGTTGCAAGCCTCTTGCTATTCTATCACTATTTCCATAGCAAATGATCTGATAAGCTACATTCCTTTTCTATCAATATTTTTATCTTAATCTTTCTCTTTGTTTTCTCAATTTTATGAATTTAAACACAGTACTAGAATGGCGGCTCGGTCTCATCATTTTATAGTTGAAATTGCTACATGTAACCCTAAGTTCTATGCTAACAGTTCTTTTGCATCTTAGAGGCTTTATTGCCTTGCTTGAGGTGTGAAATGATTAAAAATCTTTTGATTAAAAAATGATTGAAAATCATTTATTGTTCTCCTTCCTTAATAATTTTTCTTTTTTTTTTATATTCTTTCACACTTGTGCCTTAGAAGCTTTATTGCCTTGCTTGGGATGAAATGATTAAAAAAAGTTTCACCAATTCTAACAGCTTAAACCTGCCATGCCACAGAATCAAATCATCCTCATTCTCTTTGTATTTCATTAGTAAGAAGGAAGTTCTATTCTGACTCCCAAGAGGATGCTTTCCTGACTACTACAATCTTAACCACTTCAAATTTAGGTCTAACTATTCTCTTTCTCACATATCCTTATAAATTGTGCTTCTTACTTCTTACAACAACCTCCTTCAGTAACCCTCTACCTTGAGTGACTCATGGTGAACATTACTAAAAATAAAATAAAAAAAAGGACCATGGAATCTTATATGCCACCAAATATTGTAAGTTAAAAGCTTATAAATCAACAGAAAAACATTGGCATAATTCATTGATGGATGTACATACTGAGAAAAATATTTTTGAATACTTTTATTTCTTTTATATCTAAAGGGATTTTTTTTTCAAGGGGAGCGTGGGAGAAGAGAGAACTTCACCCCTCTCTTATTCCAAATACTGAATAAGGCACATACAAAACAAACAAGACTTGAAACTCTGTAAAATTTGAAAGGAAAAGATATTTATTACATTAACGTAAAAATAATATAGCAGAATACAAAGTTTACAATAAGCTTGAACAAAAATTTCCTTTTGTGCACCTTATAAAAGGCAAGATAACCAATTAAAAAAAATATGGCTCATAACAGAGATATCAATTATTCAACAAACTTTCAATAATCAAAAAAAATCTAGAGAAGGTTCAATAAGTTAAGCACCATGTGTGATACACACTTTGGCGATCATGTTTTTTTTCAAGTCATGGTTGACTAGGCAAAATATTTTCCCACAGTAGGTTGCCATTTTTTTCTGTGGTAGACTAGCTGCCAACCAAAACTATAGAACCCAGTCTGGTATGTTGTTCAACTCATAGCTGGGGAAGAAGAGATGGATTCTTACCTTTCCCAAGGGTATTTGCATGTAAGTGAATGTAATGAACTTGACTGGAATTTGAACCCTGCTCTCTGATTTCTCAGTCTGAGCTGATATCCATTACACCACAATGCAAAGCTACAATAGAAATTCCATTTTTAAAAAAGGTTCAAAATATAGAAACTTTTACCAATTGAAAGATCTTTAGAGAAGGTACAATACAATTCCTATAAAAAAATGTTTGAAAGACAAAGGTGTATCTCTTTTTCAAATTTGAAAATTAAATGACAAACCATCTGTCTTGACTGATTATTTCTGGTAGTTCTTTTTGAGCCATTCTATTTTTAGAAAATTTAACAAACAAATGTTTCACATTTAACATATTTCTAGATTTCTGAGATGAGGTATTGTTAATTTTTACACAATTCACATTGTTTGGACTGCTGTCCTCGTCTTATATGGCTGAAATGTTGTAAATAGGACAATAAAGATGAGGACAATAATCCAGACAATGTAAATAGTGTAAATAAATTAGTTAATTTTTTATCAAATGTCTGGCTTTTTTGACATTTTCTTTAAAAAATGTAAATCTTAAAAGCAAGTGTAGAAGACAAAACTAGACTATTATAATATTTATTTTATTATTACCTTTTAACAACCATTTATTTAATTTACGTTTTTTTTTATACAAATTTTTATATTCTCCCATCAAGAGAAAGAGCAATAAACAAACTTAGTGTGTTATATTATTTTTTAATTATTTTATAATCACCTTTTAATTATTTTACATTACTTTTTAATAATCGTCCTGGGTACAATGATAAACTACATCTGGCAGCAAGGCCTCTGATTAGGAGGTTTTGAGAAGCATGGAATTACCTTTTAATTGCTGTTGTTCCCAGGTCCACCCTGACCTGTTAGGGTCCAGCTATGGGCAAATAGTTAATCCTCAAACTGGTGTCAAAACAGTATGAAAGTATAAAAATACATTTTATACTAAAAAAGATTATCAGCAGTACATTAAAAAAAAAAAAAAAAAAAAAAAATATATATATATATATATATATATATATATATATATATATATATATATATCTCAAAGTATATAATTGGTATATACAGAATGAATTCCAATAACCAACAATTACTATTCTTAAAATTAATTCTTTATATTAAATTTTATCATATAATTTTATAATTATTAGTTAGTATAAATTATTTTTAATATTACACGTATTTAAAGATCTGAAAAGCTATTATAGCATGATTTTGTTGTCAAGCTTTTGAATCTTTCTATATTTCGTTTTTGATTGGTTATTCTAGCTTTTGTAACAATGTTTCCCCCCTAGTGTAGGATCGTTAATTAATCTGAAACTTTTAAAACCATTTATTTTATTTTCAACATCATCACTTGATAAGACACAGAGTGTGTTGAAACAAAATGGCTATTTTGTAGTGATTTTATAACATACTTATGTTATAATTTTTTAAAAAATAAAAAATATATATATATATATATATATATATATATATATATAAATAAATTGATTTAAAATATGATTTTCTGCTACACAGTTCTATCACTTGAGGATGATATGGAACTAATGTCTTTAATTTAATTATAAAATTAAATTCGGACCTTCCATTTTTGAAACATGGTTAGAACTGTGTAGTGGAAAAACGATATTTTAAATCAATTTATTTATAATGATAATGCTCTGTAAATTTACATTACATTAGCACTATTTTGTAAAAATAAAAATATCTATAAGAACACCGGATTATATATGTTACTGTTCTTTCTTTTTATTTATATACACACACACACACACACACACACATATATATATATATATATATATATATATATATATATATATCCATCAATACATTTTGAAAAAAAGAATTAACCATAAAGAGTTGATATGCTGCTAAACAAACTTTCTAATAAAAATTTTATACAGCGAAATGTACATTCATTTTTTTTTTTTCTTTATTTTAGAAGTGGAATATATTTATACTGAGTTAATAATTCTAAAATATTTCTTTTTCAGATGATCCTTGTTATAAAGCACCTTTTCAGCAGTGTCTGAAATCTTGAGTTAATTTATTTTCATTATTCCACATGCGGTCAGCTCACACAAGATATCCTGCATCAACCAAAAATAATGAACTCCTGAAGATGGTGAGAAGGTACTTGGCTGAAACAAAAAAAAAAATATGTATGGAATAACTTTTCATTGCAACTTATCAATCTCTGCCTGTGTCATCTGCATATCTTACGTTGCTAAGATTGGGGTTGCCAATAATGAATCCTTGTAGAATTTCTACTCTCAGGATCACCTTGCTAGGTTGAATTGTCTTCCTATTTTTGTATCCTGTAAATACATTATAAGTAAATTTTTTATTTATTCTTTGCTTTATTTATTTTGATTCATTTTGTCATATTCGCATTTTAATACAATGTACAATACTAACTGCTTTTAATGTAAACATACAACAATGGTAGAAGGGCTTTCATTGGGCAAATCAATTCCCATGGTAATCACTGTCTGAATTTCTAGTATCATTATGGTATAATTATCATTATTTACACTCTTTACATGTGAACTATTGTCCTCATCTTTGTTGTTTCTATCACAACATTTCGGCTATTGTACCCTCTGGCCTTCATCAGGTATATCAATCTGGGTAAGCACATACTACCCGGCCCAGTGATTGAACTCACAATTACTATGTTACCAAATTCATAATTAATTCGCTAGTCTATTTTACCTTGGAGTGACATAGTAATTGTGAATTTAATCCCTAGGACATGCAGTTTTTTTAATCGGATTTTCTATTTTTTTATTTCATGCAGACAAAGTGTAGAATCTGTCTGAAGTGAATATTGTCCCAATTGGTTTCAGCCAATTCATTAGCCATTTTAAATGTGTTTTTTTGTCAGTATATTTTTTTTTATTTTATATATATATATATATATATATATATATATATATATATATATATATATATATATATATATATATATATACACACACACACACCCTTGGAGTGGGTAGAATGGAGATCAACGTGTTTTAGTGGACTCAGCAATTTTCAATCTGCTTTTCTGAATCATCTTCAAGAAGTGAGAGCAAGATCTAAAAGGTCAGCCAATTTAACAGTGATCTCATCTCACAATCCTCACACTTGCTCCATATGTGGCTTTCTTTGTAAACCACTAGCGGGTCTTAAATGCCACTTAAGATTATTGCACAAAATTTCATAACTGAATCGACTAAGCTGTCAGATTCTCATACGTCGAAACCGACGGGAGAGTCTATTATATATATATATATATATTTCTCTATATTCTAAGTTGTAATATAAAGAAGTAAATCTAAGCTATACTCTATGGGAATAGTAATAATTCCATATTGGGGTGCCTTAGTGTTTCTACACTCTCTAGTCCTCATAAAAGAAAAACTGAAAAAAAAAAATTTTCCTTGCCCATTACATTAAATGATATATATATATATAATAAAGATATTGTGATATGAAGGAAATAATAAAGTATTAATAAAAATGTGAGGGACATGCATCTGTAGGATTTGGGGAGGGGAGGTTTCTAGCAGTCATTCCCACACAAATTATAACTTGTTGTAAATGTTCTGTTGATGCATTGGCCTTGTTGGAATGTAATGTTTTTTTATATATTTATTTTTTGGGGAGTTAAAAGGACATCATCAGCCCACAACAAGATTACAAAGTCCTATATGAGATACAATGAAATAAGCAAAGGCAAAAATAATAAAATACTTTAGTACATCTTTCAGAGAAATGATTGTATATTTTAATGAACATATATGTATACAGAAATAAAGATGTTTTGCTTATCTGTTGGTGGCAACATGTTTTATCAGAGAACTGTCTCCTGTCAGAGAGAAAGTTTTGATTTTTGTTTCATTTTGTAAAAATGCTTGTTCTGATGCATCATGGGAGTATTTTATATTTATTTAACTATTTTTTATAATCTAACTTTTCTTTCTTTATTGTTAATTACCATTCTGATCTATATTTGAAAGTATTTTTACGGCTTAACTTTTAATATTTATTTTTTATTATTATGTTGGTTCCAGGCTACTATATAGTCTACTAATAAGGGTCGAGGGTTATTTAGTAATTTATTTGTTGCTATCACTATATAACTACAAATTTATTATTTTCTTTGCCTTTGGTCAAGTGGGTTTCTTCTGAACACATGACTTCAAAGACTTTATTTTTCAGCCATTAACAAAAACCCGGACTTTTGAATCTAGTAACATCATTTAAGGCTGTTCAGCTGGTTGTATATGGGACCTATTGTGCCACAGTAAATCGAGGACTCATTAAACAGAATGTGAGGATGGACTGTATAAACCTACCAGAATACAGAATTTTTTCTATAAAGGTAAATGGAGCAAGATGCTGTTTATACTCTAAGTTGTAATGTGTGGAATTTAGTAAACCTAAGCTATACTCTAGTAATAATTCCATGGCTCAGTGGAGTAATGGATAGTAATTGGAGAGCTGAGTTTGAATTCCAGTTGAATCAATTATATTCACTTACATACTAATACTCTTGGGAAAGGTACGAATCCTCTTCTGCTCCTCCCAGCTATGGGTAAATAGCAGGACAGACTGGGTTCTATAACCTTGGATGGCAACTGGTGTACCACAGAAAGAAATGGCAACCTTTTGCAAGAAAAAATCTGCCTTGTCAGTCATGTATCGAAGATATATGATTGCCTAAGTGTGTATCATGCACAGCACATAACTAACTGAATAATTCCATCTTGGGGTACCTTAGTGTTTCTATACTCTCTAGTCTGTATAAAAGAAAAACTGAAAATAAACTTTAAAATTTTCCTTGTCCACTACATTCAATGAAATGTATATGTTTATATAATATAAAGATATTGTGATATGAAAACCATATGAAGGCAATAATCAAGTATTAATAAAAATGTGAGGGACATGCTTCTGTAGGATTTCGGGAGGGGAGGTTTCTAGCAGTCATTCCCATAGAGATTGTAACTTCTTGTGGGTCTTCTGGTGAAGCATTGGCCTTGTCGGAATGTAACTGTATGTGTTTGACTGGTTGTATATGGGACCCATTGTGCCGCAATAAATCTGAGGCTCATTAAACAGGTAAGTCACAAAGTGAGGATGGACTGTATTAACCTGCAAGAATACAGAATTTTTTCTATAAAGGTAAATGGAACAAAGATGCTTTTAAAACATTTCTAACACCCAGTATTTTACTTTCTTTGCATCACTACCAATTCACCTTTCTCTCCTATCATTTGGCCGTTCAAGAAATAGTATCAAGTGAACTGACCCCCGCCCCTGGACAAGTGCTCCCATTAGGAAAAAATTAAAAGAAAGTGCAACTTTGGGGTGCAAGGGAATAAATACTAATAAAACTAATTAAACTATAATTAACGATAACTAATAATTAATACTAATAAAACTAATTAGGGTTTTATTTTAATGTTTTAACTGGTATCCAGTATGAAGAATTATCTAATAAGATTTATATCACTATAAATATACCACTAATATTGCGTACTGTGGGCTATATGCAAATACACTAATTGCTAATTATATCACTATGATTATACCACTAAAATTACATACTGTGGGAAATATGCAAATACAATAATTACTAATTACATAATTAATAACTGTCTTGTTAAACTAATGTTTATAAAAAATAATAATTACAACAATCAATTCTTGCATTTCATGTTAGACAATAAGAAATATTATCTAATAATAATAATAATAATATTTAATAATAATAATGATAATATTTATATGTCTGTGAGGTTTGATGGGATGAGGAGCACTGATAGCTTGTTTGTAACGTCTTATTGCATGTTGAATATGTCTTACAGGTGTTCAGTTGAGACATCTTCTGTTATGGCCTGAACTGTTTTGGTAATGATTTACTTTGCGGTCTCTTGGTTGTTAATAGCTTTTCTTTTTATTTCCTGCTGTACAAACAGGACTTCTGTGCAACATATGTCTGCAGCATAGGTATAATCATTTACATAGCCAACTATTTAATTTCCGCAAAATTAAACTTTGGCTTTACAGTTGCTAGGCCAATGTTTCTCACATTCATAAGATATAACACTATTAGATAGTTCTTTATGCTTAACATAGATGTATCCATTATAAATAAGCTTCCTTTTACCATGTTCACTTTGGATAAACTTCATGATGGGGGGGATATAAAAATTTTTATATACTTGGAGATTTATAGATGCACTGTGATCAGTTCAAAACTGAATTCAGACTGGGCGTTGGCTTGTTGCTACTTCCCAAACCTGGCATTTTGGCAGATCAGGTCAGGATAATCCCGTGAACTTCAAGACGGTGTTTAGAAATTTTTCTTTGTTATTTAGGTAAAAGCCAAACTTAAAAGATTTGCCCTTTACATCGTTTAGGGAGCAATTGTCCAGAGAGCAGATGTCCTATAACCTTCAGGAAAATGCCAACTGCATCCCCATACAGAGAAGTAACTGAAAAAAAAAAGACCACATGTATACTGTACTTACCTTTTTGACTAATGTGTCAACTAAATATAGGTCTATGTTTATTGTTCATCAAAATGACAAAACTCAGTATTAAATAACTTGGAAAAGGTTGATATATCATAAAGCAAACCAATTCAGCTTGTTTGTCTGTAAAAGCTCTGTGCACCATAAAAGATCCTGCACCAAATGCTTGGGAAAAAAAAATTCTAATTGTGATATTTTTAATTTATTGCCATTATTATTCATCATTGACTAGATTTCCTCTAATCTTATTTATGTTGCTTTTTCTCTTAACTTCCAGCTATAGAGAGAAGGGTTATGAGTTCAAATCTCATTGTGGGAACAGACAGAGAAAATAGCTAGAAATAAAAATTTTTGTTTTGTAGATAAGCAAAACCTCCAGCAATTATTAATCATTGACTAGTTTTGCTCTAATCTTATATAATCACATACATGCATATATGCTTACCTACATGCAAGACATACACGCACACAACAAAACAAATGGGAATAAATATTCACAAGGA